TATGGCGCTTACTAAACTGAAACGCATCGACATTCCTGCTCTTGTTTAAATCATACGCTGCTATAAAAATCCCTCTCTAACTCAATGACTGCTTGGCAAAGTTTTGATTACTTAGGTTTTTCCTGGTGGGCTTTCTTTCGAGAGGGACCCCGGTACGTGAAAAATCTGCCGCAAAAGAAAGTTGGTGAAGAGAAGTGAGCTAAAGCAAAGAAGGCAATGTCTGCACGCTGAACCCGCACAGCGTGCTTGTTTGTCTCGAGTTCAGTCGTTGCACGAAGCGCTCCAAGAACTTTTTTGACCTTGATTCGCAGTGTCTTGCATCGATACGCTCAGGTTCTTTTTTTCTGTGTGTTTAGCCTGTACCTCGCCTGCCGGCCTGGCAAGCACAAGTCGCTGGACTGTTTATTGTCGTATGCTGGACAGTTACATTTTGCATACTATTTTGGGAACCATGCAGTTGGCGACGGAGCGCGGAGTGGCATGGTTTCGGTTTCGGTCGAACAGCCGTTGTCTCCGCCCGCGCGACGAAGCACGTGTAACTGCAAGCCTGCCGAAGTTGCCCTTACGTGCATGTGAACATCATTGCAACAAAGGCACCAGCCGGGACGCTTGCAATGCGTTGTTTTACGTTTGCTTACTTTTTTTATAAAAATCTGCCACGTCAAGAATTTTGGCGGTGCCAGAAGAGTCCATGTGCGTATGGCAGCTGCCTAATTTGCTGTGCCAAGAGCTGCACAATAGTTTGTGCTCACTTGATTGTCACAAGGGGGGACGCCACAACAGCCACACTTGCATCTGCTCGTTTTCTCTGTCGTAACTTTGCCGGCATCTGACAGCATGACACTTTGGCTCCCGTAACATATTTTGTTGCCACTTTGGGACGGCTTTTGGTCCATGGGAGGTATATAGGGCAGTAAACACCCCAGTCAGAGACATGTCAAGGCGTCCTGCCCTCCAATCCTTCCTAGCTTCGATCCCTTAATCCCCTGATCTAGTTGAAAAGCCAAAATCTCAAGGTGGGGTGATAATTATTGGGTGTCTGGGTCTTGATTTACACTATTTTTGGATGCAGATACCAGACACCCTGAAGCCGGTGGATGATCATCTCGACATCTTCCTTGTGGTGCCAGCAACACTTGCACCGCTGGTGTGGCATTCCTTGCACGCTATGCTGGGATAGTTTTTTAGGAGTGCCATGTCTGGACAGCTTATTCAGAAGCAGGCTGTCGTCGTCGAGATCCATGCTTTTTTTTTAACGGATGATGTTGCAGTGCCCACATGGGTGAGTATGACAGAAAGGATTCGAGATTGGAATAGGTCACCAAACAGTATCGCATCATTTTTCGTTAAAATATTTTTCTAACAACACTATTCATTGAAATAAACACTGAAATTCAAAGTTTCTTGTGCAAGAATGGGGAGGCCTGGGGGTGCTCATATGTATCCCCACTACTCTGATGATAGTAGTGTCACCTCTAAATCAACACAGCATAATGGAAGACATATCGCAGTCTAAAACGGGAAAAAATGTTGATATATGTGTCTTGCAGATGCGTATATGACCAAATAGCAAATGATTGCGGTGCCCTGAGCCCTAAGGTATTCAGGACCAATAAACACATGGGGGTGGTAGCAGGTGTCATGGCAAATGGAAGCTGTCAGAATGACATGTTCGGATATTGACACGGATTGTGTCGGAGAGACATGAAATCACAACTGCTGGAGCCACTCCAGTATTGCATGAGCACTTCAGCTCGTATGTTTACACCAAAACTGTTCTGTGCGAGCTTCATAGAACACTCATGGCCAGGCTGCTATTCTCAAATCCCTAATCACCAGTACCAATGCCAAGCTTCGGCAGTGCCAGCAGCACTTTAGACAATGTTAAATTGGGACGTTCTCTGATGAGTTCACATTCCCTGGCACTTGTGTGCAGGAAACCTTTGCAGTAGGTGTGTGCGAATATTGGTTCAAATTGAATAGTATGTTTGCCATAACCTTTGCGCTGCAAAGGGAAGCCGATGCAACCGGCTCTTTTTGCGCTGTTGATGCTAGAAACGACAGTGCACTATTTGATTCAAACCAATATTTGCACACCACTGCTTTACAGGCTTACGAACTGCACTGTTTTGTCCCAAATTAAACAACATCATATGGGGAGCTTTCCACTGTTCTGGATGAATGGCTCCCATTCCCTCTGGCCAGTGCACATAATTTTCATGTGTCCTTCCCAAAACACAGCGATGCAATATTCGTCACCAACACCAATGACAGATATTATCTACAATTGTGAACTGGGACCCTGTGAACTTATTTTATGTATAATGACCACGCAACAGATATTCCTTCCTTGTTAATTCCGGTGTATAACTGGTTGTTGTGTCGATTGGAGTTGGAGGTGCGTTAGGAGAACCAAGGCCTATAGTTTTTTTTTTTTTTTAAACTCTGGAGCATTTAGAATGAATCTACAGCAGTTCACTTCAATTTGGCTTCCATGTCTAGCCCATCCGACATGGACTGCCAAATAGGGATTCTGCTATGTGATAGCTGGAGTGGACGTAACAGAAAAGCAGAGTATGATTACATGCCTAGAGAAATGAAAACAAGTGTAGAATTTGCCAACAGAGTGATAGGCTTTGCTTCTTACATCCAATCTCTGTCATTGTTCCAGGCACTACAGATTTGCAGCCTACAGGCAGTGTGCCCTGTGGCTGTGGAGCCGCTTGGGAAAGAAGAATAGGCGGCCCCTGCCATCCTGTGTGGTCAAGACAATTAGGGGCAGGTACCCTGCTGACGTGTATGCGGGCTACAGGGATGCAGAATAAATTGCGTTGACCTAGAGACCACGCAACCCCCTTCCCTTGTCTCTTCACCCTCCCTGCATGTGTGTGAAGTCGCTCGTAGCCATGAACGGAATCCTCTAAATCACGTGACCTATTATCTACGATATCACGTGACCATAACTATGATCACATGATCGTAGTCAAACCAAAGCCAGTGCACCTACGTCACATTCAGTCACACGACAAAGCCGCCTCGGTGGCTCCGAGGCGAGAGTGCCGGCCTACGGATCCCCATGTGGCGGGTTCGAATCCCGGCCGAGGTGCCTGCAATCTGATGGAGGTATATTGCGGAGAAGGCAGCTTGGTAATCGAGCTTTCGATTGCACGTCAAAAGATCCCCAGGTGGTCGAAATTAATCCTCGGTCCTCCGCTGGGGCGTGCCAGATGCCCGTCGTTGGTTTGGCACGTAAAACCCCCAAATTTGATTTGAGTCGCACGACCGGATTGCTTCATTTTCCTCCTAGAATCCAAAGGCTGTCATCAAAACTACTAGGGCGTGAGAAGTGCTCATTTGGAACACTAACCAAAGCAGTAAAATTTGGCACCCACTAATACCATTTTAAAGTAAAGATAGAAAAAGCACCGATGTCATGTTCGCACTAACAGTGTTGTGCAGTGTACTTCTACTTTCTTCTGGATCTGTTCTTTCAAATGGAAAAACTGCATATAACATGGAAAAATCTGACTGCATGAAGCTACAAGATGCTTCCCTACATCAGCCGTCTGAGCGTGCCGGTGCGATGAGGCGAAGAAAGGCGAATTGCGATTGCTGCAGTTTTCAGAGGGACGTGGTCGATTGTTCCGAGGGTCTGGATGACGACTTGGCTAACATGACAAACAAATGACGTTCTGCTTGGGTGACTATAGTCCACTTCAATGCAGCGAACGACGGAGAGGAGGTCGCCTCCTCTCCAGCATTCGCTCTACTAAAGTGGAAAGAGGTGGGAGGAGCTTCCACTTCGTTCTTGACCTGTCTCCGACTATAGGCATGCTGTAAATTGTATTCCTTTTTTTATTTAGAATTCATTGCCAACCTACATTTCATTACTGTACTCTCAACATGTGCTCTAGTATAGACTTTTCCAGTCCAAGCCTTCTGCGAAATCCTTTTTTTACTTGGCTGTGGAATGCTTTTTGAGCATGCACAATAGATCCCCTGCATGGAATATTCTATGCCTCCACAGCCCAGTTACCCTGGATTTTTCCTCCCGGTGGTAAATAGGATCTGCTTATATATTTCAGTGAATACTACGATTGTTAGTTTATATTGTCGTTATAATTGGCAAGTATACCCTCACATCATGCAAATACTTTGAGGAAATGGCACAATTTCGGTCGGGTTTTTAGTTAGGCATAGTGCAGTATTCTAGTTACATCGACCCATGTATTGACCTCACAATGCAGAAATCATCCAGGGGATCACAAAATTAGTACTACCATCGGCATCACTTGTTTTCAATTATGAAATTATTTCCTTTTGGTCATGCAAATTTCTACACCTTCCAGGTTCTGGTACCGAGAAGTCAAGTTGTTGGAAAATTAATGCAGTTTATTTCAATCGTAAGGTTAGCGAATGTGCCTCACTTATTTGCAAGCAGGTCAATAATGACAGAAGACAAATGTTGCAGACGGGGGGAAAACCGTGGTGGAGACTGGAAAATGCAGCACTGTTTTTAAATTGCCATAAAAAACTTCTGTTAATATTTCCAGTGTTATATGCAACCACCCCACTTATGTTATTGCTGCATTACCAGCCTACCTCCTGGATGAAAACCCCATTTATTGGAAACACGGGCGGGCTGCCCCGCCTCGGTGCAGTCTCCACAGCATGTCCGCTCATCAGCACATGAAAAGAAAGATGGATAAGGCATTGTGTTACAGTCTTCAGAAAAGTGTCGGTTGGGTTCCGAAAATACTTCAATTTTCTAAAACTGCTGCGATGGGCTAAGCTTGTGAACTGGGGATGGGATCTCTGGTGCAGAACTACATGCTATTCAAAATAGCACTTGATCCGCCTTCATTGTGGTGTGCCCACAATGAATATGACAATACGGTCACCGATTTCCTCGATCTTGAAAGCTTGCACAAATTATAGCTAGGATCCTGCGTTCTTGAATTTAATTTTTTTTTAGCAAAATTAGAGGGTGTTTTTTTTTGTTTTGTTTTTTTGAACCATCAATTTGGAGCTTCCATTTATGTACGCAAAGTTCGGAGTCTTTCGGCATTTTCGATGAGGCAAATGAAAGGTAGAAAACAGCACTTTGTGAATTTAGTAAAGCAGTATTTTCATATGAGAGCGCCGTATTCATCTACTGTCGTAGAGGGCCTACCTCATTTTTATTATAAGGGGCTACATGGCAACGGAAGTTGACACTGCAATAAGAGGAGAATTGCAAAAATTGTTCGAAGATTCCGGGAAATATAAAGACTGGTGGGGGACCGAAAAATTGAGTTTTTCAAATGAATCTGAATCAGCAAAATTTTAACGGCTAGTGTTTTTTGGAGTTTATCAGGTTTATCTGAGAACGCAGAACCCTAATTACAGCTAATGGACTGGGAAGAATTATAGCACTGGCCTGTCCTCATCTCCTAATGCCTCTACTGTTGGCACTGACGTGCCAACAATAGAGGTGCACCATGCTGGGCTTGAAAAATCCGGCTTGAGAGGGCAGGTGCCAATGCTTGCATCTCTCCATTACGCTTGATCGTGGCCCTAAAATCAAGCATTATCAATAGAGGAGATCTGCATTTCTGTGAAAAATGATTGCAGACAGATCTAATGTCCTCCTTACTGTCGGTCAGGGTGTCCTAACGGAAAACAATGATCTATTTTGCAGCTCGGCTGTTTTCTCTTGGGTCTGTCTGCTTGCATTCGCCGTACGTTCTGCAAAACAAAGCGGTTATTGCCTACCATGGTAGTTTTCATTAGGACGAGGCTCCTGTGTGCTTACCACTGGCAGCATGAAAGATAGAACCAGGTCCTTGCTTCCTGCTGCTGTCCACCTCGTTGACAGACTTTCCAGCCAACAGTGAAAATTCAGACTTGCATAATTACATTCCTAGACATTCCAAGTTGGGCTAGATGGGCGTTCACACTGAAGTTAGTGTCGTCCTCACCGCAAGTTGAGCTGTAGCCTTGAGTCTCGCTGTTCGGTGACTTTTCTGTGAGTCCGACATTGCCACCGGCTAAAGTTCCTTGCCCTCTTTTGAGATAGGCATGCCATGACCAGCTTGATTAGGCCCTAAAATGGAACATTCTCATGAGGAGAGATCTGTATTTCTGTGAAAAATGATTGCAGACATATCTAATGTCCTCCTTACTGTCGGTCAGGGTGTCCTAACGGAAAACGATGATCCATTTTGCAGCTCGGCTGTTTTCTCTTGGGTCTGTCTGCTTGCATTCGCCGTACGTTCTGCAAAACAAAGCGGTTATTGCCTACCATGGTAGTTTTCATTAGGACGAGGCTCCTGTGTGCTTACCACTGGCAGCATGAAAGATCCAACCAGGTCTTTGCTCCCTGCTGCTGTCCGCCACGTTGACAGACTTTCCAACCTACAGTGAAAATTCAGACTGTTGCATAATTACATTCCTAGACATTCCAAGTTGGGCTAGATGGGCGTTCACACTGAAGTTAGTGTCGTCCTCACCGCAAGTTGAGCTGTAGCCTTGAATCTCGCTGTTTTGTGACTTTTCTGTACTTCGACATTGCCACCGGCTAAAGTTACTTGCCCTCTTTTGAGATAGGCATGCCACGACCAGCTTGATTAGGCCCTAAAATGGAACATTCTCATGAGGAGAGATCTGTATTTCTGTGAAAAATGATTGCGGACAGATCTAATGTCCTCCTTACTGTCGGTCAGGGTGTCCTAACGGAAAACGATGATCCATTTTGCAGCTCGGCTGTTTTCTCTTGGGTCTGTCTGCTTGCATTCGCCGTACGTTCTGCAAAACAAAGCGGTTATTGCCTACCATGGTAGTTTTCATTAGGACGAGGCTCCTGTGTGCTTACCACTGGCAGCATGAAAGATCCAACCAGGTCTTTGCTGCCTGCTGCTGTCCGCCTCGTTGACAGACTTTCCAACCTACAGTGAAAATTCAGACTGTTGCATAATTACATTCCTAGACATTCCAAGTTGGGCTAGATGGGCGTTCACACTGAAGTTAGTGTCGTCCTCACCGCAAGTTGAGCTGTAGCCTTGAATCTCGCTGTTTTGTGACTTTTCTGTGACTTCGACATTGCCACCGGCTAAAGTTACTTGCCCTCTTTTGAGATAGGCATGCCATGACCAGCTTGATTAGGCCCTAAAATGGAACATTCTCATGAGGAGAGATCTGTATTTCTGTGAAAAATGATTGCGGACAGATCTAATGTCCTCCTTACTGTCGGTCAGGGTGTCCTAACGGAAAACGATGATCCATTTTGCAGCTCGGCTGTTTTCTCCTGGGTCTGTCTGCTTGCATTCGCCGTATGTTCTGCAAAACAAAGCGGTTATTGCCTACCATGGTAGTTTTCATTAGGACGAGGCTCCTGTGTGCTTACCACTGGCAGCATGAAAGATCCAACCAGGTCTTTGCTGCCTGCTGCTGTCCGCCTCGTTGACAGACTTTCCAACCTACAGTGACAATTCAGACGGTTGCATAATTACATTCCTAGACATTCCAAGTTGGGCTAGATGGGCGTTCACACTGAAGTTAGTGTCGTCCTCACCGCAAGTTGAGCTGTAGCCTTGAGTCTCGCTGTTTGGTGACTTTTCTGTGACTCCGACATTGCCACCGGCTAAAGTTCCTTGCCCTGTTTCGAGATAGGCATGCCATGACCAGCTTGATTAGGCCCTAAAATGGAACATTCTCATGAGGAGAGATCTGCATTTCTGTGAAAAATGATTGCAGACAGATCTAACTTCCTCCTTACTGTCGGTCAGGGTGTCCTAATGGAAAATGGTGAACCATTTTGCAGCTCGGCTGTTTTCTCTTGGGTCTGTCTGCTTGCATTCGCCGTACGTCCTGCAAAACAAAGCGGTTGCTTACCATGCAAGGCTGTATTAGGACCAGGGTGTAAGATAGACAGGTGGGGAAACGAGAGCCAAATGAGCGACCGGATTGTGTACCCCTCGGTTTTCTTTTTTTCTGTGGCGCCATCGATGTGGAGCACCGCAAACTCTCACTCCAGGTGGGCGACTGGCTAAACTGACGGAGATGGTTTCTCGTGGATTTTCAATAAAGACTGTCGTGCTCTCTGTTTATTTTGCGCACTCTCCCATAAAGTTCCATGCAAATCCGATTCCGATTTTTTTCCTCTCGCCGCAGCGCCATCTGTTGCAAATCGGGGGTACCCGCAAGCAGACGAGTACAGAATCCGGTCACGGCGCTGCGGTAGGCTTCTATGGGCCGTTTCCCCACCTGCTTATCCTGCACCCTGATTAGGACCAAGGTCCTGTGTGCTTACCTGCGGCAGCATGGAAGTCCCTACCAGGGATTTGATGCCGTTACTGGGGACTGTGGCCAAACCTGGACATTCGTGCTGCCACGAGTTCCTCTTTTGGAGGCCTTGTGTAGGCTGCAGTCATCGGTGCCGGGAAGACGACGGTGTTGGCCCTCGATGCAGCAGCCAGGGACCGCCACTGTTTGCTGCTCTCCATTGCCTCCTTGATGAGCTTTCCAACATACTCTAGAATTCAAACCTTTGCATGATAACATTCCTAGGCTCTCTGGACAAGGCATTCACACTGCAGTTAGTGTTATACTCACTGTAAGTGGGATCCGTAATCTCTGGTCGTGCTGTGTGGTGGCCCTTTCGTGCTTTTGATGTTACGACCGACCAACGTGGCTTGCCCTCTCGTGTGACGGCTTGGCAGCGGTTTGAGTTTTCGTTGAAATGGAGGATTGCAAGTCGAGTCCTGCAAGATGGTTACATTTCAGTGATGGTAAAGTGTGCCACTTACAAAGAGTGGTTATTCTGGCATCAATCCAATTCCATTATCTGATCATTAGGAAGAGACTGTCAGGTTTGTCGCATTGTAACCAATGGACTGGATGAAAGTGTCCAAACAAAGGAAATGTGATTGTAAATTGGTTGACTTACTTTGCAAGCATGCCTTCTGGGCTGAAAGCCTGGGACTTCGGGGCGAAGTCTATCAGGACGCTGTGGAACGCCTCCAAAGCATATGTCTGGCCATGTGGAGACATCTGTGCAAGGTCCTTCAGGAGCAGTTTGTTGCCAGTGATGCTCTTGAATTGGTTGTAGGCCTGCGAGTCTGAGGATGATACAAGTTTTAGAAAAACCACCTTCATTTGGAAGAACAAAAACATACTGGGATCCATCCATGGTCGTGTTGGCTCTGGCATGTCACCATGGAGGCACCTTCCATAGGTTCCTTCGTGCCCCGAGTGTTTGTTGATGACATGGTTGTGCATGCTGAGCCAGATGTCGATGAGCAGCTTCTCGTCGCCTCCTGCAGCCCTTGCTGACCAGTACATATGGTTTGTAGCTGTCTGGATGCAGATTTGCAGGTCTTGGCATCCAGCCCGTTTGCTTGCTGCTGTCAGCTTCTTTCTCACACCTAAAATTCAGAGTCGTGTCAGGGAAACTTGCAGCGTGATCGCTGGAAAATAAAGGCTACACGAATGGCCTGTTAGGATTGCTTACTTTTGGAGATGTGCCATATGTCAAAGAAGTGGTCAATCCCGGGTTCGTGCGTCTTCATGTGCTTTCGTGTGGCAGGGTGACGGTCAGTCACCAACGATCGGATCTTGATACCTGCACCATTAGGTTTCCGAAGATAGCAAAAGAATAAGTGATTATGCCAATTTGAACAGAGTGCCTGAAAGGCCGCCGAGTAGTGATATACATGAACTAAGCATGAACATACCTTTCTCCTTGAAGAATTGCAGCTGCTTGAGGAGGCCCTCCTTCTCCATGTTGACACTGGCCATGGCCTGTTCAGACTAAAAAAAGGTGTGAAATGAATATTTTACCAAAATAGTGCATGGCAGTGAAGTAACTGATGACATAACACAAGAGAAAGATTATGAGATTGTTGCAACTGGTTCACGTAAATTCGACTACTTGCCTCTTTTAGCTGGACCTGGACAGAGTGTAGAATCTTGTTGATTTGCTCGACGTAGACTGTGTACGTCAGGTACTTGGCACAGAACCCAGGGGAGTCAAATCTCCCGTCAGCAGAGATGTCCACCTCTTTGTTCTGCAACTCGTTGAGAAGTTCTTGTTGCTCTTGCAGCCAGACCTGTTCATGCAGATAAATATTGCTTTAGAAAGGCATGGAGCATACTACAATAGTCCCATCTGTTTATGTATGCATAGTGTAGTGTTGTAGAATGAATGACTGAGTGAAAGAAAAAGGAAAGCACAATGCAGCGAGTTTGAATGTGACTTAGATTGTGCTAGGTTGTGATTTGTGTTTTTATGTTTGTGTATTTCATAAAAGAGGCAGCAGGCCGCCCGTTACCTCGAAGCTGCCCTACCCTTTTCCATTCTGACAACCACCCTCTGTCTCTTGACTCTCACGGGGAACCTGACTCACTCAACCCAATGCCAGACAGGGAACTGCCCCAGGATACTACACATAGCAGAAATAAATTAAAGTATCGTGGATTTAGTAGCCCATGGCACATATGTAACATGATGTATAAAATTTTATCTCTTAGCACTATACCATTGAAGTGGCATACTACAAGAAGATATTTATTCATTTAACCGAAGTGTGACTGGGGCTCCAGTTTTGTACCTCATTGGAAAATTGGGTATATGGGAAAAAAATGCAGTTGCAGTGTCCCGGAATATTGCTCACCTTGTGGATTGCAGGTAGAGCGAAGGCCTTCCGATGCTCGTAGAAGCTCGAGTCGGAGATGACCTGCACGTTCATATGGCGTAGCATCCGCAGCGTAGGGGCAATCTTCACTCCAGAGAAGACCAGGTGGCTGGTCAGCAGTATGTTCCCTGCTGGTCTGCCGTTGACGATGGGCTGGCTTTTCCATGTGCGCACGTGCTCCACAGGGCAGATGCTGTAGACTGTGATCAGTGTGCCGGTAGTTTCGATCGTTGTTTGGCACAGTCTTGAGCACTCTTGGCACGTCTTGAAAAGCTCCCTTAGGCAGCTCTCGAACACCAGAAACTGGCGCTCTTCTTCTGGTGGTGGTGGTGGAGCTGATGCACCATGCTCGATTCTGAAATGGGATCATGTGAAGCATTCTTTACAGATTCTATGTGTTTATATGCACAACTTACCTCTCGTAATCCTCGCTGTGAGACGGAGAGTAGGTTGCGTCAGAGTCTGGCATGTTGCTGGGAACAGGAGATGTGCATTCATATGGCACCCCACTGCTACAAGTGGAGAAGGCAGACTCGGGTGGATGCGACTGTGCAGGCACGTCTGCGACAGGGACAGGTGGCACCACTGCAGGGATGTTTGTTTCAGCAGTACAGTCCCTGAGGGTCATTTCTGCCTCGCAGGGTGCAGGCAGTCCAGTTGCCGAGGCCTGAGTCTGCAAAGGGCACTGTTTATTACACATTTCATATTTTTAAAATTAAAGGGTGCAACTCGAGCACTCCACACAATGCCGTCACCGCGGCAAACATCCTTGATGCCTAGTTTTTTAGCTGATGGCAAACATCCATGAATTGTTTTGTAGCCTTTCCATAGCTTAGAATTTCATGCACTCAACCAAAGCTCTCACTGTAATACAAATCTAAGGGATGCCTCACTCTTTATATTTGTTTTTATAACTTACATTACCATCTATATTTTCAGTCTCTAGCTCAGCAACAATAAATGTTCATGTCGCGATATGATGTCACATTACATACATACGTAAAGCTGCAGCTTGACATGTATTTACCAACCACTGAAGGAAATGCAACCAACGAGCACTTATAGCCGCAAGTGGGAAACATACAGCAACTGCCATGAGTTCTCAGTGTCCAGAAGTGCCACCAAGCAACAAAATCATGGCGTGCATTTGCTATGTGCATACAAATTTGCAAACGCGGGTTTGCACGCAATCGTGGGTGCAGGATTGTGAGAAGAAAAAAAAAAACTGAGTTTGCTCACAAGAGTAGATATAAAAGAAAACCTGCTTGTTAGTAGTCACGGACACTTGGAACTTTGCTAAGCTGATACGAAAGGGTTCCTGTCTGTAAACAAGCTGGGAAAACATGTATTGACTTTGGGTGGGTCAATAGCAGAGGGGGGTGGTGATGGTGGTACCATTAGAGGCGATTTATGACTCTGTCCTTTTATCTTATTTGTTCGTGTTTTCTTTTTACAAATGAGTTCGATCCTGCAGATGGTGCATGCTGATAGGGTTCTTCGTTTTCGGGTAAAACCCGATAATACCTAATTTTTCTCCCCCGAATAGTTCTGATGAAAATCGGGTTAAACCCCATTTCTCCCCGAAAAGCAGTGTTGAAATCACCTGACTTGATAGAAAATATGAATCATTCTGGATCTGTTTAATTCCTTGGTCATCAGTTGATGGTTACAATTTTCTTCGATTTGCGTGACCTCCGCAAAGATTCACTTCAGAGCCGATCAGAAGGTAGAAACATATCCTATGCCTATATAATATATTTTGTTTACTTTTGTTCATGTAAATAACACATTGCACGTATTTGTAATTGATAAAGAAATCCCGAAAAAAAATCCGAATTTCGGAATGGTTTCTGGAAAAACCCGATTTCTTCCCGATTATCGCCCGGAAAAATAGCGCCCGATTTTTTCCCCCCCGATTTTTGAAAAATATAAAACCCGAAAATGAAAACCCCATGCACCGCACCATTCGCGCGATAAGCTCTCGAACCGCTAGTCCGGAACATTAGGCACCACTGATCGACTTGACGAATGCCATGTGGATTCCCATGTTACACAAATGCCTCCTCAGTTCTTAGTTCAGAATATAGATACCAGAAGCAGCCGCACTGCGCAACGCAGAATGCCATGTTCGTGACACTCCCAAAAATATTTGAGCCATCGAAAAACTCACCACGACTTTTTGGCGCTTTGGGGGAGGATCGTCGGTCTCATCGGCGACGGGAAGCAGAAGCGTCGGCACAGCATCTGATCGAAGACGGGAACG